ACTCCATTCAGTAAAATCGTTGGTATGATTAAAATTGTCACAAATGTGCAGGAACTGATCATGCCGTTAAAAACATCTTTGGAATGAACTTTAGTCAAAACTTGATATTTTGAATTGAGCACAAAACAAACCTGGAAAAGTTCTTCGTTTGTGTTATTCATTGTTAGCTAGTGAGAAGCCTGTTCTCTATTATAGCGACTGTATCAAAACTACTGGGACCTGTGCCAAATATATAAGGCTGCCGCACCCATCAAAATTGCTTAAAAAGCAGCTGCCTATGACTCTTTTTAAGTTCCGACATTGAAAGATCTTCCATTGTGCAACCACAATAAGAAATTCTTAATTTGTTGTATTCATTGTTATCAACAAGTCTCTTCAATATATAGTGACTCAATTAAAACTGCCATAGGACCTCGTGTTAAATACAATGCAGTTGCAATTGCAAAATCATTAAAAAAACCCAGCTGCATGGCTATCGTTGTTTTAAGTTCCCATAACTACAAAGAGCTTCCATTGTGTGGTATAAAGAAGAGCTGAAATGGTATCATTATATACGTGTCTAATTTTTACATGTTTTTCTTTTGATGGACTGTTTATCAAAACGGCTTTCCGACGAGTAAAATGTTCTTTCCAACAACCTTAATTGAACATGAGCTGTTCTCAATTATTAAGTTCTCACATTATCAACATAATTATATAATATTCCCCTTCTCTTATTCATTTTGCCGCGGTCCCCACGTACGCGCGCGTGCTGCTTCCAACGCTGTCAATAAATTGATTCAATTTATATGGTGGCAAGGAATAATTCCATCGATATAAATACCCGAAAAATACGGGGACAATGGCAGTGGCACAAAACGAGAAGACCAAAAAGGACAATTGTTAAGAGGGCCCACAAATAATTAATAGTGTGAAATAATCACTGATACAATAACTGTCAATTTCCCTGCCATAAGGCAGGATTTTGCCATTTGGGATCCTATAGATAAACCTTAAATTATGTTTGTCTTTTCTCTTGTGGGTGCTCCAAAAGATAGTAGAAATGCAGTCTTTAAGCATCAAGAATTTACAAATCGTATGGGAGGGGACCCCCAGAACATCTAAATACACTTACTTCTGGGGTGGTGGGATGAAAGTGGTGCCAGCGAATCCCTCGAAATAATTATTAGCGTGGGAGAACTTCATATTCTTATAGTTTTATGTTAGCCCTATATAATTTAAATCATGCGCTTATTTGCATGTCGTCTTTTCGTGTATTTTTGTCACGTTGAATAAGTCCATGTAATAAACAGAACATTGAACGGTTGCGAGAACACATGGATTGATGTTCTTGTGTCAAACACAATATCTCAGTCGCTGCGCTCACTCGCGAGATATTGTTTTTGTCACTTGAACAGGCAAAAAACCCATATCTCCACGCAACCGTCTAATATCCTCAATATATAGAATACTCATGATATACCGATACATGGATTGAAACGGTTAAGTTGTGGGTGGTTAGCTTTTAACTGTAGAAGATATTTCAACTCAATTTTTCCCCGGAAATGCCATCCAAGAGACCCCAGATTTCAAAATATGTCTGGGAAGCATGTCTACGGAATCGATTGAGTTGTCTGACCTTCCCATTTCCCACCCAACCATCATTTGGCCAGCTATGCAAATTAAAATTTTAAAATTTTCCTCAAATCACACAATATTTCTGTTGGTTATCTCACCCAGAAATAACCGCAAATGGACATTACGGACTTTTAAATTTCAAACATTTGCGGGTCAGCATGCCACCCCAACTTTAATGTTACACCATGACTGTTCACATTTCCTCATCCTCGCCACTGACTTGAACGTACTCTTGAAAAGCATTCTGAATTTTTAATTAAACACTGCTTTCAGTTAACATGAAACGTTTTAAAAATCAGGTATTTTGACCCCTATACTCCTTCTCCCCTTGACAGAATCTTGGCTATATCCCTGAAAATTATCTCCTGAACGTTGTTCTAATATAAAGCTCTATGTCACTATGTCTCCAACTGAATTATTTTGTTAAGTATTCTGAAGTCAATACTTGACAGTGTTAAAAGTGATTTATTAAGACCTTTACATTTTTCTGTAGATGCCTCGACAATGCCGGAAAGGCAGTTTCAAAGACCCAAAATGATTTTTCCCGGGGTGGGGATGCCCTCGGTCCGCCCTAGAATTGTGATTCGCAAATTGTTAAGGCCGCGATTTACATTGCTCAACGTTTGCTTAAAATTGCCGAAACCGCTTACATTTTAAGTTATACTGTGTAAATCAAGCACACAACTGGCCTACGACAACTCCTTTAATTTGACATCGCACAATATAATCATGGTGGCGCCACTTTCAGAGGCAAGGAATGGAAAAATCCTCCTTATGGCAGACAAATTGACAGTAATATCTATATGATCATTTCACTCTATTATTTATTTCGCAGGCCCCTAACAAGTGCCTTTTTTCGCCTTTGAACAGTCTGTTCCAGTGTAGCTATATAAGTTGTGCCAATAATATAAACAATCTTTCGTTTTTAGGAATGCAAAAGGCCCTTCGCCTGGATTTATTATAGCGGTTTAGCGGGGGTCGAGAAATTACACGAGCTTTTATACTAAGAATATAAAAGCGATCATGCGACAAAAAATAAACCAATATATTCTATTATTAATATATTCTGTAATGTGATTTACATTTTTTGTTTACACAGTTGTTTTGACTAAATCCCATCTGATCAGTTTACTTTTTGTCACGTTATCGCTTTTACATTATTAGTATAAAACCTTATTTAATTTCTCGACCCCCGCTAGAAACTCCAGAGAGGAAAGGTCATCGCCCGAAACGTCGAAACTCGAAATTCTCTTATATTTTTCGGGTAGTTGCATCCTTACCAACGAAAGCTTGTTTTTTTTTTGCCCTCCGTATAATCTTTGCATTGCGCCACTGGTTTTGTCATTTATCTGTATTTATTTGTGGAATGCATGATTTATTCAATTCAATTTTAGCTTGGGGAAGCGCATATAAATGTTATATTAACAAAGTACAAATAAAACAAAATAAAGTTGTAAGAATAATCTTTAATGCAGTGAATTATGGAAAACACACTTAAAGCGCTCTCCCCTTGCTAAATCTTCTAGATATTTTAACAGTAAATAATGTCTACTCACTATACATGCCCTTAAATTTATTCATCTATGGCATAAAGGACTTTTGCCAAATTTATTTAATGCATTTTTTCAATACGCAAGCAATATTCACAATTACAATACTAGATATGCGTCTAAACAGAATCTGTATAAACCACGTGTGAAATCAAATACCGGAAAACAGATGATCTCTTTCAATTCATAGTAATTGATCTCTGGAAAAAAATCCCTGATCAGCTAAAGGATCTAAATATATTTTCCTTTTCCAAAAAGTTGAAACTTTATTTACTGACACGACAATATCTTGCAAGAAATAATTGATTCTACTTAATCATGATATACCTAAGTGTAATAATAATATAAATAATAAATCTTCTTCCTGGTGGAACCTAATATATTAAATAGTGTGATTTTTCTTTCTTTTGGATTTTCTTACCTCTTCTTCTAAATAATATATTAACAGTAACTGGAGGCTAACTCGAAAACTTCATAGTTTATTTAGCTTTCAGGCTCTAAAACTATAATTACGATATATTTATTAAATTTCTTAAAACAAAAAAATGTGACCTTTATAATTGTGTATGTATTTGTAATTAATTTTCCATGTAAAATTATTAAAAAACTTGAAACTTGAAACTATTCCTCGCCACTATACATAGTGGAAACCTTAATGTTAGTAGAAGTGCAAATTGCACGCGCGTAATTGGGAACTCGGCAAATTAAGTAAAGAGGAAACTACACTGCAAAAAATCAAATTCTAGTCTAGAATAATATTCTTATTTTTTAGATTATTTTTCTTATTTTAAGTAAATATTTCTTATCAAGAAATATTTCAAGAAAAAAAATCTAGTTTTAAGAACAAAAATCTTAAAATAAGAAAATATAACTGGGCAAGAATATTTGAGAGAATTTTTTTCTTATTTTAAGAATAACATTTTTCCATCCTAGAATAATATTCTTATAATTAGAAAAACAATCTTGAAATAAAGTTTAATATTATTTATCGCATATATCAAAACCTTTTTTTTGGCAACTTTTGCATGGCTAAAACGAAATATGATATTGAATTGAATAAACCTAGTTGTAATATTGTATATCTTGCACTTTTTTGTCAAATTTGAAGCTGAACGGCTCTGTCCTGAATTGTCGCAGTTTCAACATGGCGGATATCACAATGAATTTGAATATGCCCAATGAATTGCTGCTATTGAAAAATAACAATTATATATGAATTCAAATCATTTGCAACAATCGTCTATCTACGCTTTAATGAAGATGGTATGATCCACCGCAAAAAATGAAGTGTAAATTTACCCAAGATTTCGGCGTAAATATCACCGACATGTTATAACATCACGGTTAATGCTGTCAAATGTTATGACATGCGATACGTTAAACGATAAAAATTTTATATTGTTGCAATTGGCATATAATTTTTTTAGAAAATTTGTCTCATTATTCGCTTGTAAGAATTTTCATCATTTTTTATAATCATTTTTTTGGCCAGATTATAAATGCTTCCTATAGTTTCACTGGATTGTCTATGGTTTCAAGCTAGCGATAGATTGGGAGCGCTTTTTGGTGTATGTATTTTAGAAGACAAGGGCCACGCGCGCAATGAGTTGTGGGATATCGTATATCAAGTATCAAGTGTGATTTACAAATTTTCGACTTTTTCGTTTGAGCATACTGCGGATTCAGGTAGACCGTGAAATGCAAATAGTTGTCGCGTTAGTTTTAACGGTTGCACAATGACGTTTCTAGGCAGATTTTCAGACGTTGCTAAGGCGTGGCTTCAACGTTTACTTTCAAAATTTAAACGTTGTAATTCCACTTTTGAGCGCGAAAATGTGGAAAGTCAGCAGCAAAGGAAGTACATATCAAAATGGAAAAGCCTTGTCATCCGAGACTAGGAGGGCTATTATTGATAAAATAATTCTTCGAGGTGGTCAAAAAGAAACCGGTGTGTTTCATGGCAAATTGCTGGATGTCGCAACTGAATTGAATTTGTCGTGTTCAGTGGTTTCCAAAATATGGAGACAGTATTGTCAGACCTCTTCATTTTCACCGTTGAAAAAAACAACCGGGAATAATAGTAGTTTGTCTGACGGTGATTTACAACTTTTGGAGGTAATAAAAAGACAGCGGCCATCAACAAGTTATAATGAAATTTTGAATGTCCTATTTGACGTTGGCGATTTACCAACTGGTTCTACTTCAAAAACGGCTGTGTGTAACGCTGTTCGGAATCGTTTGCCTTCTGGTAAATTTACTTACAAGAAAATAAATAAAGTTGCTCAAGAACGGTTTTCCTTGCAGAATATGGCCTACACACAGTTGTTCATCGACTATTTGCACGATAAAGATCCATATACGGTACAATATTTCGACGAATGCGGCGTAAAATTACCAGGCAATGGTACGAGATCTTATGGCCATGCTCCAGTGGGCGAAAGAGCAATAGAAATTATCAGATACTGTGAAACGGCAAACACAACTGTGAATGTTTTGTGTTCACTATTTGGTGTAACATATGCGAACATTGTAGACGGTCCATCTAACACAACCGAATTTTTGAGATTTTTTGAAGAAGCGTACAATTCTGTTCACCCAACGACAGGTCGACCATGCCTTGAGGCTGGTAACACAATTGTGATGGATAACTGTCCCTTTCATCACAATGATGGAGAACATGTACTGCGCGAGTTTCTCGAGGACCTAAACATAGAACTGGTATTTATGCCCACGTACAGTCCTGATTTTAATCCAACCGAATATGTTTTTGGTAAAATGAAGTGTTTGTTGAAACACAAGTTTTGGGATTTAACAAACAATAATTTACGACTTGCAGTTTACAATGCAATCAATTTTATAACCCCAGGCGATATGCACGAGTTCTATCGAGTAACAGAATATTTAGATATTACTTAGCTGCGACATTGCAAAAAGTTCAGATTGTCAAAGCACACATTTACATTTATAAATTATGGTTGGCTCCAAACTTGAACTTCAATTACAGTTGTAAATTGCAGTAACAATATAACAAAACAATATCAATAGACAATACTACAACTTCCTACAGTATTGTTTACAGCTGCATGCGATGCTATTATTTGAGAATAACTATTTCGCTGACCTCAGAATGACATTTCGTCAAAACTTTTTTCTTCAAGATTGGTTTAGAAACAAATTCGAAGTAGGGTTAAGTTAGGGTTAGAACTTAGGGTAAGGATTAGAGTTGGTATTTGGAGTAGGGACCGGCCTAGTAAGGTTAGTGTTTATACCGGCTTTGTTACGTTTTGTCACTCTGAGGCCAGCGAAATTATCTCTTCCGCTATATTTATAAATAAATCTTTCCATACTCCATAGAGTCACAAATTTAATATTACTTTAATGTTTCTTTAACTATATATTGTTTTTGTATATTATTTGTAATATAAACTTGCATTGTGTAAACAATATCCGAGCATTCAACAGATGGTTTTCTGTTGTTTTTGTTTATATAAAATTATTTTGATATAAAAATTTAGCTATAAGAAATAAAATAAGTTGTAAATATTTTGTTTACGTTGCCTTTTTTATAAATTAAATTGTTTATTATAATACGCAAGGTTAAATTATTTGTTTTTGCCTTGAATATGGACACTCCTTAACTGTCCGAAACGTAGCAATTTTTTTACTGATTATATACTAGTAAAATAAATAATTTAACCTTGCGTAAAGCCGTAATAATTACTATACAGAATTGAAGTTAACCCGAACCGAGAGATTTTTCTATAATTTGTTAATACTGACTATATAAATAAAATTTTTTTAACAATTCATGAGGAAAATGCAAAAAAAATGAATGTTTAATCAATGCAAATCGGATAAAGATTTGTCCTGATTTACATACATAAACTTTAGCTTTGATTTTCTCGACTTTGACAATGTTTATTTTTAAAATTACTTCTCCAATGATCTCGTACTTATAAGTACTTAAAGCCGACATAAACAAAACAGTATTTTGTTATTAAAACGTCAGCTAAATTGATGACTTGGCGAACATCACATAGAAAACAACTCAACATATAAGTACAGCAATATATGTACTAAAATTAATGGAACAATTTCAATTTGCATCATCCAACAATTACGATAACTAAATACCTCTTCAATTTGATGATCTTCGACTCAAATGCAACAACGCAGCAACAGCGTCGGCTTGAAATTGGATATCGTCTAAGTTTTCATCAGAGTTTTCATCAGAATGTGATGTAGGAACATTTTCACGCTCGCTAGAGACCACAACTGCCTCATCTTCTTCGGAAAAATCTGGCTTTATAAATGGCGAACCTTTCACTTCGATTACTTCAACTTCTGGGGCTGGGCTTTCTTCCGTATTGTCTCTCTGAATCTTCATAGCTAGTTTATAGTCAGCTTCTTCTTGCATTTTCTGTCTATTTGGTTTCGAGATACTTGCACCGCTTGGATATTTCTTGGCCGGCCCCGGCGGAAATTTTATAGCATATTCTTCGGTTAACAGACGTTTATGGGATTTCATCCTGTGATCAGTTCCTTGAACTTTAAACAAATCCCATTCAAAGTTTCTTTCTTCGTCTTCATCATCAATGACAAATTCGTGCAGAATTCTGATAACATTATCGCGAGATGGCAACATCCCTTTCAAATGCTTTTGCAGAGCAGCAACATCCTTATTCAGTAAAATCCAATTTCGAAGGCCATTTGACACATATCTGCTTGGGAGTTCCTTAATGATTATGTCCTCGATTTTTTTTGATGCAGAATTAGTAACTTTTGCCGCAGCCCGCCCTGCGTTTTCCATTTCCTTTTTGGCCGACGTCAGCTTATTTTGTATGCGTGACACTTCCCTATCCAGTGCGGTTCGTACTGATTTCTCGCTGCTGTGTTTCGACAAAAAGCCGCAAGAGTACGCAGATTGACATGGGCTCAATGAACAAATTTTCTTTGTATGCCCCAGTTTTAAGTGGCAATTGCTGCAGACAGACAGATGACCAGCATTTTGTTCCGAGGCGCGTTTCAATCTATCGTCAAAACGTACCAAATCACTTCGCTTTTGATCTAATTCACTTTCGATATCACGAACAGTATTCCTTTGTTTTATCGCATATCGTTCAAGCGGCGATGCTATCGGCAAGCTCTTTGGCATGTCATTGATTGTCGCACTTTTACTGTTAATCGACTCCGGAGGATTTTCTGCTGTTGGGAATAAATTCAAGGATCTTCTTACTTTGGACCGTACTGTTGGTTTTCTTGACTGTGTGGTCGATTTTTGAGTACTTATTTCACAGTCGACGGCGTTCACGATTGGAGAGTCAAACTCAATGGCTTTAATGCTTATTGTTTTTGACTTTGCTAATATACCTTTAATTTGATGGGAGAAATATGTCGGGGACAAATCTACTTCGAGACCATCTTCTTGGATTGTTAATCGCAACGACGCTATCTTGGATAAATGTGGAACGTCATTCAAAATCCTGGTTTTAAAATCATTATATTTCATGGAAATTATATCTTCTTCGTTTAAAAAGATTGGCGTTATACGTTTGCTCGAATAGTAATCGTATTCTATTTTTATTTGAACAAAGGACATGTTGAGTTGTTGACGAAAGCAACTAAAATAGAATGACAGAAATATTCGAAACGTGTTTACTTTTTAACAAAACGTTGAAGCCACGCCCTAGAAACGTCTGAAAATCTGCCTAGAAACGTCATTGTGCAACTGTTAAAACTAACGCGACAACTATTCGCATTTCACACAGCAAAAAATCATTTTCTTATTAAGAAAAAAATTTCTTAATTTAAGAAAAAAAATCTTAAAATAAGAAAACAATTTTCTTAGTAAGAAAAAATTTTCTTGAAATAAGAAATTTTTGAATCCCAAGATATCTTTTTCTTAAAATAAGAAAAAATTTTCTTAATAAGAAAACATTTTCTTAAAATAAGAAAATACGATTTTCTTACTTTCTTAATAAGAAAACATTTTCTTAAAATAAGAAAATACGATTTTCTTACTTTAAGAATATGTTCGTAAGACAAGAAATGAAATTCTTAAAATACAAAGTTATAAAATAGTAAGACATTATTACTTAAATTTTCGAAGCAAGAAAATGTAAAATGCTAGTGTTATAGGACAACTTATATCTTAACAAGACTTAGAACAACGTATATCTTATTGCGTCAGGTAAATTTGTAGTTTTTATTTCGAATTGAAGAGACTATATGACCAGCAGCTCACGGTTGATCAAACACTAAATGGTCGGCAGTACATTGACTATATAGTTAAAGTTGAATCTTCAGTAATCAGTATAAGATAGATAAACCGATCCCCAATCCCAAACCCTTCTCTAACCCTAACCTCTAACCCTAACCTTTTGAGAGTTAGACCGGCTGCCGGTAATATAGTCACTTTGTTTTTATTTCGTTTCCAAAATTTGAGCTCGTTTCAGTTTTATTGAATCGTTGAAGAGAATTTTTGCCCTCCGGAATTTTTATCCAAGCAGGAATAGTTCGCCATAGTTCGCGTATTCACTAAACGCCTGGTACCTAGTTTACCTTTTAGAACGCGGAGCATCGCGGGATAGCGTCGTTTTACATTTTTGTGAAAAATTTTATATAAATATCCATGAGCGCCTTCAAGGGCGATTTAAATGGCAAATAACGATTGGAAAAGCATCAGAAAGTCCTTAAAATGTTGTTCAGATACCACAGGTAAGAATAATTGTATATTTGACTTGTTATTTAAACAGATTCATTGCGAAATAATGTAGTGATTATGACTGTTTACTTGAGCGAAGTGTGAAAATATTCCATTGAATGTTTGAATTTGCCGCGTTTGTTTTGCATATAAAACATGCAAATGTTGCTTTCAGGCAAGGGACGAAAGATTAAAATATAAATTCATATCTATTGTTGTGAATTCCGTATACTAATTTACGCACTAATATTAACAATTTGACAATACTAAATTGCCTTTGACATTGGCAGTTAGCTAGACCTTTCAAATGTCAAGACTCAAGGCTATATAGTGATATGAAATAAGATATTATACATACGGATGTTTTTGAAGATCTGTTAGCATTTTAATACTTGAATAAGGATTGGAATTACAGGAGAATGACAGCATTTAATCTGATATTTTCAGTGTATAGATAGCTGAATAACTGAATTGCATCCTACTTTATTGTTTACTCTGTCTAATGCCAGAGGATTTTCCTACTTGCCTTGCCGGATAACTTGGCTACTGTAGAGAATGTTTAGTTTTCCCGACTTACTATACTTCACCCGGGAAACTCTGCAACCCTAGATAGAATGTATATGCCTTTCATTTAAAATAATAGCCCAAAAATACATACAAATCATTAGGTATATTTATAGCTTTCCTCTATTTCTAGCAGCTTATTCTTGCCTATTTTGTAATCATGTTTTTTAAACCTTTTGAATGATCCAAATTGTGTTTGTATTTTGTCATTGCGCAGCAATAATGGGGTAACTTGATTTCATATAAATAGACTGCTTTTTTGTCCTGCCTGAGTGAGTAACTCACCTTGCCGGGTAACTCGCCTACTGATGTACTGATATCCATATTGGTGTATCAGTCATCTTTGAATTTCGTGAAATGACATGTATTATCGGTATCGGCAAAGTATTGGTCTTTTATTATCAGTTATCAGAATATCTGTGAATTTCCATATATCGGTGCATCACTAAAACAGTTCAAGATTGTGTTTATATGAGAAAATGCCATCCTGCTCGCCGGGACAATTTTGTTATGTTGACATTGTTTTGACAGTTGTTAAAAATAGGTTGCAGCTCGGCATCTTGAACATTCATCCTGGCCCAGCCTGCTTGTGAGTGCATATGTGGAGAAATTTTCATCCCAATAAGCAACATTGTGGCATCAGAACCAGCCTGCTTGTGGATCCATATAAACACATGATAATTTTTTCTAGATAAATATACCTAATGCAGTAAGATCTTGCTTACCGGGCTGTCCCGCTAAGCGGTCCAGCCCAGCTTCCATATAAATACATTGTACAGCTGGTTTAAAGAACCATGAACAGCAACCGGAAGTAAACTATACTGTCAGTAACTGTGTGATATGGTATTGGATAAATTTTCATCCCAATAAGCAACATTGTGGCATCAGAGCCAGCCTGCTTGTGGATCCATATAAACACATGATAATTTTTTCTAGATAAATATACCTAATGCAGTAAGATCTTGCTTACCGGGCTGTCCCGCTAAGCGGTCCAGCCCAGCTTCCATATAAATACATTGTACAGCTGGTTTAAAGAACCATGAACAGCAACCGGAAGTAAACTATACTGTCAGTAACTGTGTGATATGGTATTGGACAAATTATTACATTTCTTAATATTGCAGCTTTGGTGCGTGAATAAGGGATAATAGTCTACTGGGCACTTGCCACAAGAAAATGATAACTGAATCCAGGACATCTGTATCTGCCTACAGCCATGTCTCTGCTTAATAAAATTTATATAAAACATATGTAGTTTAATACTCCCTCATTCGTCTTCTACCAATTTGAATAGGTGATTGGCCGATTATAATATTAAACAATAAACCCTTTGTATTAGATAAGAATGATATTATATTATAAATAATATTAAATTAATTATATTAATGAATTATATTATAAATTAATTATATTATAAATAATAAGTCATAAAATTAATACTCGTCTGTCTTTTTAACATAGACAGATTTTCATATTTTTTACTGTGGTGCATGGTGCCAGAAATTTTAGGGGGGTGGAGCCGTGAGCAGGTGACTGAAGCATCACAAAGTGTTACCATACCCCAGTAAGGTCTATATTCTAGAGGTGGAGCACTAGAGATGTGAGGGGGAGTCTAGAGAGCAGAAAATAAAGTATCCCTGGAGAAATTTGAAAAAAATCATGATTCCTAGCTTTGAAAAAGTTTTTTGAAGTGGTCATATCAATGGATTTGGCATGTCCGATTGTCTGATGAGACTTGGGAGTGTTAAAAGTAAAATGAACCTAATAGGCCAATACACAATATGCTTTTACCAGTTTTATAAAGTCATTGACATTGTGTCGTTTGAATCCGAATACATTTTATGATGCAACTCCGATGTAAATAATAATTGGGGCATAAAGATTAAATCTAGGCAAGTCTATTTCCTAAAAGAATTAAAAACTAAAAATAATGTTCATAAAAAATCCAAATGTTCTTTCCGAGCAAGCTATTTGCATGAGAAGGCACTGCAAACTCTATTCAAGGGGAGATAATAGTGTTTCAAAACTTTACAATTGCTCCAATAAACCAGTGAATGCACTGTCTTTTTCTATTTGAGTGTACTCCTACGTTTATTTTATATCATCAACACTCTGCATGTTGGAGTGGACTATTTAATTATTTTTTATTATGCCAAATGTTGGGGGGGTGTTGAAATAGTTTTTTGGAGGGGTGGTCATTTTGTTTGGGGGAGGAGTTATAGATAATATTAGGGGGGGGGGTAGCACCCCCCCAAAATCCGTCTATGCTTTTTAATCTAGTTAACTTAGGTAACTGAGGAGTGATTCAGATTAGCAAGCACGTCTCCAGGTCTATTGTTCTTGCAATTTTGTATATATATAGCTATTTCAATTAAGGTTGTCCCCCAAGCAAAGCAGAAAAGTCGAATACAAGCAGGAAAGTCTGCTGAAAATCGCTAATAAATTCATTTATATTTCTGTATACACCACATATAATACTTAGAGTGATGCTTACATTCTCAATATGTAAGTAAACTTTTACAGATTACTAGCTGTATAAGGATGTATATATGATGGATCTCCAGTGGCATTTGCATGATGTGTTTGGAACAGTGTTTAATGTGCATTATAAAGAAATCTATGGACTTTGAACAAACGGTTTGTCAGATACTGTACATAATATTGCTTGTCATGTGGAAAGAGTTGAAAAATTACTGCTTCAGGTCTTCAGGAGAACTTAAATTTGCTACAACACATTCCTGTGCAATCAGAACTACACCTAGTTGTGCAACAGTGCAGCTGAAAAAAGAACTTGTATAAATTGACAATAATTTGATGTTTTGTATGTTACTCTGAGTGTATATCCACACCCGGCAGGCTAAAAAGTTAGCCTGACCATGGTGGGAATCGAACCCGCAACCTTTGGGACACTAGTCCAATGCTCTGCTAACTGCATATACACTCAGAGTAACATCAAAAACAATATTCACCTGAGTACCTGTACATATAAACACCCAAACAACACATTCTTAATAAGAAAATTCTTTTTAAGAAAAATTCTTGATTTGAGAAATTATTTTCTTAAAATAAGAAATTATTTTCTTATTTTAAGAAAATTTTCTTATTTCAAGAATTTTTTTTCTTGGGAGAATAACAAGAAAATTTTCTTAATAAGAAAATTCATTTTAAGAAAAATTTCTTGTTTTGAGAAATTATTTTCTTAAAATAAGAAATTATTTTCTTATTTTAAGAAAATTTTCTTATTTCAAGAATTTTTTTTCTTGGGAGAATAACAAGAAAATTTTCTTAATAAGAAAATTCTTTTTAAGAAAAATTTCTTGTTTTGAGAAATTATTTTCTTAAAATAAGAAATTATTTTCTTATTTTAAGAAAATTTTCTTATTTCAAGAATTTTTTTTCTTGGGAGAATAACAAGAAAATTTTCTTAATAAGAAAATTCTTTTTAAGAAAAATTTCTTGATTTGAGAAAATATTTTCTTAAAATGAGAAAATATTTTCTCAATTTAGGAATTTCTCTCAAGAAAATTTTCTTAACTCTTTCCAGTCACGACCCTATAAACGCAATACACTGCTGTAATACGACTTTGCAGATTCATATCTTCGGTTCGGTGCATACCTAATTTTAAGAATTTTTTATCACTGCACATTTTATGCCAAAAATTTCCGAATGACTAAGAAAATTTCAGAATATTCGGAAATTTTTGGCGACCTCCCCCCCAGCCACCCCCCCCCGTCGCCAAAAAAATTTTGGTCAGTGTACCATTTTAAGGGTCAAAAATTTTTTCCGGACATACCAAAAGCCAGATATTAACTAAAAATTGCCTGAATCTCATGATTTTCGTACAAAAAACATATACTATTATTTAATTCGATAATTTGGCAGTCATCATTTCAATTTCAATTAAATCATTCTCTTGTGTTAATTAACAACTTACCAAAGCAAATTTTATCACTGCACATTTTACATTTTATCACTGCACATTTTACTTTTATCACTGCACAAATTGGTTATCACTGCACACTAAAATTAGGTATGGTTCGGTGCATGCTAAGTAGATGAAAATATCACCATTCGATTCAGCGTGTCGAAATCTCCTAGTTCCTAACGATAGATTTAGTCGATGTCAACATTATCACAATTTATGGCCTTTGGAAGTCAAGCGAGATTGTATATTATCAAATTACGCAATTGTCTGAACAACAATGTAGACTGGCCGTACCTTTCGCCGAACATAACTTCGGCCGCTTCGGCCGTATCTTCTTTGTAATAGTCTTGTTCGAATCGCTATCAAAAACACTATTTAGAGTGTTATTTTCAAGATTGTATCATCAAATTTGAATCTTTTATTACCATAGGATTCAGTCTCTATTATAGATCCGGAAACTGAAAATCCACTATAAGCGCAAAAGAGTCCGCTGAGTATATTAACACCTTTTTCACAGACCTAACTAAGAACTACCCAGAAGTAGCTGACGAGTGGCTGACGATTACAGCAGGCGAGACCCTGTTTCAAACCTCTGTGACGAATCTCATAAACAAATTAAAAGGCATAGATGCCAATAAAGCACATGGGCCATTTGATCCCTGTTTAAAGATAATAAAGTTATTCGCTGAATATTTTGCAGTACCTTTAGTACATATTTTTAATCAATCCTTCCAAACTATGAAATTTCCGGAAGTTTGGAAAATTTCTAACGTCTGTGCTATCTCCAAAACTACCCCATGTAATAGAGTGGAGGAGTTAAGACCAATTTCCCTGACTAGCGTACTCTCCAAAGTGCAAGAATCGTATGCTGTTGAATGGATCCTTGAGGACGTTCAAGAAGCAATTAGTGACTCTCAATTTGGTGGACTTGCGGGATCTTCAGCTGTTTTGACGTTAGTGTATTTGGTACATAATTGGTATAAGAGCATGGAAAGCACGGGAAAGGTTGTAAGAATCTCCTTTTCGGACTTTCGTAAAGCCTATGATTTGATCAACCATAACATTTTGTTAGGAAATTTTATGGACATTGGTGTGCGCCCTTCGTTAATAAGATGGTTTGCGACGTATTTACAAGGTAGACTACAAATGTGTACGTTTATAGAAACCACAAATCAGAGTGTAAGGTATAAAAGGAGGGATCCCACAAGGAAGTAAATTGGGGCCCCTGCATGGCCTTCATTATAAAGATTAACCAGCTGGCCAATGTTGTTGAAACACCAAATGATGATCAGAATGGAGGTTCTGACCAAGACGATATTGTTATATTTATGGATGACACTACTTTATCCGAGGTGGTTGATGTCACTAATCATGTATCTGGAAATTGCATCGGAAATAGTCAAAATAATATTGATAACATAATTCGGTTCACGGAAAATGAGCAAATGGAATTGAACGCTAAGAAATGCAATGAAATGGTAGTAGATTTTAGAAAGATTAAGACTGTAATCCCTCCTGTCTGCATTGGGCAACAACCTATGTCTAGAGTGAAAACGTACATGTTATTGGGACTCTGCATAGACGATGATCTAAATTGGGAATCTAATACAGAGTACATTATTAAGAAAGCAACCAAACGTCTATATTTTTTGAAGGTTCTTAAGGGTTATGGCGCACCAAAAAATGACCTCAAGACCTTTTATTGCTGTGTTATCAGATCAACCTTGGAGTATGGTGCCCAGGTATGGAACGGCAACTTGACGCAAGCACAGCGTAATGATATTGAAAGAGTACGGAAACGAGCTTTGAGGATAATTGCTCCTGAATACGAGTATAATCGTGCGCTTCAAGAATGTGACCTAAAAACGTTACAGGAACGTAGAGATGATTTTTGTGTTCGTCTCATCAAGCAGATGTCACAGCCATCACATAAATTACATTCATTGCTTCCTAGAAAATGCTCTGAGGAGGAAGAGAAACTAGAACAAATCCGGACAAATTTTATAATTTCTTCTGCAGAACTGAACGATTTAAACGCAGTCCGTTAGTATATGCAATAGATAAATATAACGATAGGCTAGAACTGTAGTTTTTAATTTGAGAATGTTAATATGATGAATATATATATATATATATAGAGTTACTTCGTTTAAAACATTTAATCACGGCAAATTTGTTTCGTATGGCAAACTAGGCTTGCCACACTCATCAGGTGAATGATGATATCGCGTATATTTATTATATGGCTTCTCAAAATTCTCTATTCTGATTGGTTGACAAGCGGTCCGTAAAAACCCATATCCGGACCGTGGTCCGTATTTTCCGTATCTGGACCGGTGTCCCGGATGTCGTTTATCTGGTGGGAAATTTTTGCTTTGCAAACAGAAAAATTTTTTGCTTTTTAAATTTCCAATTGTGTGTCATTAAAATTTACAGATAAAAATTTCAAACAACCAAATTGTTTTTGATTGAGCATGCATGCCTACCGTATATTGTTACCCAGTGGAACTGACGATAGCCGATTTAATTCGCGCGAAAAGCATACGCTCACAGACTCAGTTCAGCCATATAATAAACCGATTATTGTTCGGTCTGTACTGTGAAATATCAGACCTCTGTTTTTTGCATGGACCTCGCTCCTTCGTCGTTCGGTCCATACTAAAAAACCTCGGTCTGATATTTCACAGTACAGATCTCGCGCTCGGTCAATAAGCCGTTATTAGTCTGCCTTTTCGCTTGAATAAAAGCAAAGCACGAGATAACGCGGCAAAGAGTGTTTATATATATATTTTCAATAAACTCAACTGTTCCGTGCTTCAGTGATTGGTCAGATTCTAAAGGCTCGCACTAGAAATCGCATCAAAAATTGCAAGTGTAAACGGGCCTTAAGATGATAAATCGGTTATATTTGAAGCTCCTTGAAAAGTCTTGCCAACGACGTATAGGGTTATATAAGAACTATATCTCCTCTTGATTTTATGAGAGTGTGGTGGTTTTAGGTTGACTGCAGCTTGATGATGGCAAACCAGGGGCGGATTTTCTGGGGGTGCAGGGGGGTGCGCATCCCCCCAAATTTTCTAGCACCCCCCCCCCCAGAAAAATTCTAAAATGGCGTGCGTACTGTAGGTTATTATAACAAACTTATACATTTAGCAGTAATTGAGTACAACTCACTGATAACTTCGACAAATGCAATTATTATATAATTATATATATTCTACTAAGTATTTATAAAACTAAATATACTACGTAAAAACGTCTAAAGATTAAATATCCAAACGCATATTCAATTTTAGTAAAAAGACCAGATAAAAAGCAACGACTAAACTAAACTTTGGTGAAAAAACAAGGTCGAATACTAAGCCTAAAATTTCAGTGAAAAGGCTAAGAATAATACAGTACTGTAAGTCTAAGCTACGAGCGCAAGTCTAACTTTGTCATCAACGGATGTTATGACCACAGTAAAATCATGCCATATATTGCTCAATAAACCGGAGATCAGACAAAAGTACGAATCACTCCACAGAGAAATGTATCCTAGCAAACAAGTTAAACATATTACGCAGCAAATCGATGTTCGTTGGGGATGCAAATACGAAGCCGTTGATGTTATATCTGAAAGATGTGGTGTTACGTTGTCCTCACGATCCTGATAGACGTGGCAAACAATCCCGGTGGAAGTGATGAAGATTCGGAAGATGATGAGTATGGGTAAATGAAATCACAGGCAGAAACAGCAGCTGGACTGTACCACAAACTGATGTCAGGAAAATTCATCGTCGGTCTTACGACACTTCATAATTATCTCGGCAAGCTACAGTATATTTCCTTAATAAAGAACTTCAGGCCGAAGAAATTGATTGGACAGACGTTTAATACGAGCTGACTCGAACTCGTAATTCAATTAATAACATCAAAGACGAGGACATATTCATTGAGTCGAAAGAAATTTCAAGAAAGACTGGAGACTCTCTGCGACACCATGCCTATCCACAACACTAGAGGTACAACAGTTATGACTCCCGATGATCAGGGTCATCAGGTAAAAGAATTTATTGGAGAACTCAACGCAGAGCTGAAGAAGAAACTCAACGATGAGTTTAATGTCAGATTTGACTCTGAGAACATAGACATCCTTAGAGCTATCAATGCTCTTAATGCAGGTTCAGATACCTACTTGGACTTAAGTGAGCTAGATGTGCTACTGAATACATTCAGGCTTCAGCTGTCTCAACACCAACAGATCTATCCTCGAACTAGAAATCGAAAGACCTGAAGTTGATTACCGTCTTGGTCTACTAATAAATCCGAAGAGGCTTCCAAACTTGACCGCTTTAATTGCAGTTAAGAACACCATCTCGACATCAACCACTTCAGTGGAAAGAGCATTTTCCAGCATGAATCGTATTTGCACGAAGCTGCGATCCACCCTTCTTCCAGAAAGATTAAGTGATCTTTTATGCATTTTGTTAAACAGAGATGTTGTTGATTTACTGGATTTGGACGAAGTCGTAACAGCATGGGGAAACATGCGCAATATAGGTGGTCTAAAGTCTAAGTAATTAACTGACTAACTAGTCTAACTGTATAAAATGTATAATGTACTTATTACTATATAAATTGAGAACTTGAAAAAAACTATTCATTATTTCATTTATTTATTAAAAACTTTGTTAGTTTGTTACTATACCATTTTCACGAATTTGAAATATTCTAAGGAAGCTATCCTGAGAAGCTATACAACTATATTTTATAACTTTATACTACTATTCATTAATAATTATTAAATAATGATACTCTGCACATATACTGTGCCCACTAAATAATTTAGCAAGTTACTACAGTACTAGCAGGGAATTTGAGATTTGATGTCATTCCAGCTCAGGGACTTAAAATATTTGATCAGTTGATCGCATGGGCAGGGGTCACAAAACAGAGGTTATGGCGATATGCCTAAAACATATACAACAGCCCGGTCAGCCCCTTTGGTAGCGCACCAATGCACCCCCCCAGAGAAATCTGCACCCCTCCTGTCAGATGAGCATTGATCCGCCCCTGTGGCAAACAAGAATCAAATCGTTATTTCTACGCCTGTGTCATTGAGATCAATATATTACTGGAATAATGTGAGCTGCTGCATAGAATAATCTGACTGCTGAACCTGAGAGTCAGTGCGGTCGTTTTCGTTAATTTTACTATAGGGTAGACCACGCAAGCCATTTCATTAGTGTGCGGTTTCGCTATATCTTAACATTCCAATTTTATTCCGCTAATTGAGTAAAAGCTCGGATATGTATATGGAGCTTACTGGCACACGCTTCCTCTTTACGTATTAATATTTTTGTAAATATTGTACCTGTCCATGCCATTGTCCAGCTTGCTTTCCATTCCTTCCATCATTGACTTCTTTACACGAATACACTGTGAGTAGACTGGGGACGAACTATAACAACAAAAAATGAATGCAACCAATTTTGGGGAAAGTTAATGAGTGCAATGCAATTCGACGTACACTTGGTAATCGTTGATAAAAATTGAGTTTCTTACATTCCAAAAAAATTTCGTTTTAACTGAGGTTATATATATTGCTTTAACGTATATACCCAAGTCTCTGTGTTATATTTAACAATTATACCATGATAGTTTTGTTTGTGGAAACACCACGTAAATTTATTACTGCAAAGCTTTCGATCCGTAAGCCCGGATCTTCATCAGTGCTAATAATAGGCATATTATTAGCACTTATGAAGATTCGGGCTTACGGATCGAAAGCTTTGCAGTAATAAATTTACGCGGTGTTTCCACAAACAAAACTATTATATTTTATCGCCATGCAAACATACAAAGAACTAATTATATCACGAGCTCGAGTCGTATATGAGCCGATAGCGACGAAATACGATGAGAGCGAATGGTATAATTGTGTTGTAATATAGTCTATATATAATAGCCATTAGTATAATTACATAGGTGATTATTGAAAATTCTCCACGCTGATTGATTGCCGTTGAGGTGATTATTACGCGATAATCACCTAAGCGATTCTCAAAATGGCGGCCGAAGCCTTTTTGTCAATTAAATGGCGAAGAAATCTGTATTTTCTTATTTTTTCCCAAATAATCACCTATGAAATTATACTAAAACAATTATTCACCTCAGCGAATAATTGTTAATTAACTGAAGGCGAATAATTGTTAATTAACTGAAGCAATAATTAATCATCCTTTGTTACAATGTCTTGACAATTTGTTCGGCCAAAAACCGCCTTGAAAATTTGAAATACTTTTGTTTTACAACTCGAAGACGAAGTGAAAAAAATGGTTTTAGAAAAGGTATATCTCACAAAAAAGCTCATATGTTTGGTAGTATAGTAAGTGCTTGTTGACTGCAAATTCATAGTTTGTCTTTCGTTGCAAACTTTTCTGAACAATTTATATTCTCAATGAACATGTTAATGAATCGCTGGTGTTTCGGTATTAATTCCTTAAAAAAACTTGTATTTAAACAAATTGATATGAGCTGATATACGGCGAGTAATTCAACCAATCAGATTGCAGAACAGCTCATATACGGTGAATGACTATATTATATATATATATATATATATATATATATATATATATATATATATATATATATATATATATATATATATATATATATATATACAGGGTGTATAAAAAAATATATATATATATACAGGGTGTATAAAAAAAAACTGAACAGATTTAAAATTGCTCTCAATTTCGCAAAACAGCTATTTGTATCCGGTTTTTTATATATATAGCCTCTTTGGGTACTTATAATGTAGAATAATGAGAAAGATTTCTCGAACTCAAATTTTGTGAACCAGGGGGGTGTGTCTTTTCCAACAAACTAAAAATGGCTCGCGCACAAAATTTAAAAGCTGCAATCATATTTTGAGTTAACAGATGGAAAATTTGTCGGGATTTTAATTACTGTACAAAATTTCAGACAATTTGGTTTGGTTTAAGCCCCTTAACTATTCACGCAAAGTTACAATTTTCCCGAAAAATCAGCTATTAGCATGCTTAATTGTGCATTTGCCTAATTTGCATATGTCAGCAATATGCAAATTAGGTAAACGCATTAATTAAGCATGCGAAAGGCTGACTTTTTAGAACAAAATGAATAGTTAAAGGGCTTAAACTAAACCAAATTGTCTGAAATTTTGTACAGTAATTAAAAACCCGACAAGTTTTCAATCTATTAACTCAAAATATGATTACAGCTTTTAAATTTTGTGCGCGAGCCATTTTTAGTTTGTTGGAAAAGACACACACCCCTGGTTCACAAAATTTGAGTTCGAGAAATTTTTTTCATTATTTTACATTATAAGTACCCAAAGACGCTATATATATATAAAACCAGATACAAATAGGTGTTTTGCGAAATTGAGAGCAATTTCAAATCTGTTCAGTTTTTTTTGATACACCCTGTATATATATATATATATATATATATATATATATATATATATATATATATATATATATACTATTTAAAGCACGCGTAGGAGTGTTTTATCACATATAAACCACGACGCGTAGCGGAGTGCTTTAAATGGCTTCAAAAACGACTCATCTTATACGAGTTCATTGGCGAAGTAATTTTTAAAATAAACTTTGTCTAAACCGAGAAAATCAAAGCTAAAGTTTATGTAAATTAACATGATTTTTTATCACATATAAAACCACGACACGCTTATGATTTTTCTTTGTGTTTTCCTCCTGAACTCAATCTCGTTCCCAGAGTATGCCTGTTCGCGGGTTAGGTAGTGGCATGACTCTGGGGAAATCGAATCGAAATCGTTATTTGATTGGCTGCCGTGATCATCAATGCTGCCGACACAATTAATGCGTGTTTTTTACGAGAATTACGCGTGGACATACGCGAAGAGAGAATTATCAATGTTTATCAGATTTGGAATGCGAACTCAAACAATATAAATCGAAGGATATATTATATTAATCGTATGAAAAAGTATTGGGACGTTGGGTATATACTTACAAAATGGCATGGTATTTATGAATGACTTTTTATCGATCTACAGTATGAGTATATTTATTATAACCATGGAAGAATTGGCTAAATGAAATCATCACACACGTCGTTGTTTTGTTAAGACTTTGGAGTGACAGCTTTTGCTTGTGTTAAAAACTTGAAGCTTTAAACAATACAGTACATTATGGTCAACACTCAACATGTTGTAGCCCGTGGTCTTTGTGCTTTTGTAAATGGAGTTATCTCTTTATAAATTTAAGATGCCAGGTGTTTTTGTAGCATCTGTATAAATTATAGAATAATTGATTTAAGAAGTTCCTCAGGTTGTAAAACATTTGGTTATAGACTTGCTTTGTAAGTGATTGCCACTTGACAGCATGATGGGCTATTCCATTTAATATCCGTACACCCCCTGTCGAGGATACATGTTTTTCATGGTTATACCCCTGAAGAATTTCAAACTCAAAACCTTTTACCCCTGAAGAATTCCAAGCTCAAAACCTTTTACCCCTGAAGAATTCCAGGGATCCTCGACAGGGGGGTACGGATATTAATTGGAATAGCCCGATGTAAGGCTATAACTAAGCCAAACCTGAAACAATTTTTGCATCAATTTATGTCTGGATAAAAAATAAGTAGTGAATTTAAATACAAATGTTTCCTTGTCTGTCGCTATATGAAACAATGTTGTTTGATGACTTTGATCAATAACAATGCTCATTTGCTAAAAATATACAAGTATTGATTCCATTTCCAAACTATTATACTATGTGAATATATTGGCAATTAATTCAATTCTATATAAAAGGAGATACAGTAGAATTGAAATAGCTACCAGTTAACCAGTTTCAATCAAATAACTACTTTAATTTCTGTATCAAGCCTCCTGGGTATTATTGTTTCCTAAGCATCATTGAGGGGGCACTTGTTCTTAATATATGCAATAAGTCTGGTTACCATTAAAAAATGTCCATATTCAGAGTTACCATTGTACTATATTTTATTAAAATACTGCAGAAATGCAATATATATCATGATTTTAAGAATTAATTGAGGGCTGCATGGTTAAAAGAGGAGGGGCTGGCCGAGGGGGGCTTATTTATTTTTGATTTTTGAAGAGAAGGGAGCTTGAAGGGAGCTTGAAGAGAAGGGAGCTAAATATAGAAATTACAGTACTATATACCACCATTCCTTCCTCTCCCTTCCCAAACATGCTGCAGGAGAGGGGGCAACTACATGGGTTAAAGCATGGATTGCAAGGTTGATATATTGCATGTTATGTACCTGGTAATATGGAGAAATGAGCTAGTAAATATATCCTTTCCTATAATTAGTTGCTGATTAAATGTCCAAAGATACACAGTGTGAAGCATGAAAAGCAAATGGAAGATACCCACTGCAAGAATTTTTCAACAAATATATATGGATTTGTTCACAATGTACTGTCATTTAAAGACTTTATATGTGGTCCATGTATATATGTTAATGTAATATAATATAAAAAATAATGTGTTTATTGTTAAAATATGTGATATATAATACCGTAAACCTCTGACTATAAGCCCTGGGCTTATATTCTTTTGAAGCGATTTTTCATGGGCTTAGGGGGGGGGGCTTATATGCATGGGGGCCTTATACATGGACAATCAATTGTGTTAGTAATAAACAAGTCAGTCACTCATAAACAGGAAAATAAACATGTATTAATAACACACTTCCATTAACATAGTAAGCTATAAAGACGATGACAGTGTTTCAAATATCGTTCTCTGCTATATTTAAAGACAATGTCAATGTTAAATAACATAGTGGGATACCGGGCTTATATTCAGGGGGCTTATATTCAGGGAGGGGGGCTTATATTTGGAATGAGGTGAGCATTATATTCAGAGGGTTACAGTTGAAAAAAGCTTGTATTTTCTTGTCATAGACACACATTTCTGGGTGCATATAGAACAGCTTAAACGTCAGGTTCTCATGTCGATCCAATGGTAATTTGATATCGCTGCCATCACCATAATACCTGGGAACGAGGTTGAATATAGTGTAGCACAGAATGGCCTTGTATGTATCGGTCAGCACTTGTTTCCAACTACCAAACTGACATGACGTCATTTTCGGAAGATGGAAGGGGTGTTAAATGGCTATGTAACTAGCCCAAACCCCACCCCTACTCTAACCTCTAAGCGTAACCCTAACTCTAACCCTAACCAAATTAATGAAAAAATCCAAAAAGAAACAACTTTAGAAATTGATCAAATGACGTAATGTCAGTTTGGTAGATGGAAACAAGTGAAAACCGTATGTATCATACTTTGACATACTATCATGCATGCAGAAATGCCTTGGTCATTCATGTGGAGATATGACTATCACGATATAATTAGTTACGCCAAGTAACATGTCATACACGTCAGGTAGCAGCAGAAATATTTTAATATTTGCCATAATATGCCCATAACCTGTTGGCAAAACAACCAAAACATCTTCATCGTTTTACAAATGGCCGAGATACATTTGAATGTCTCGTCTTTTAATGAATATTCAAGCCCTCTTTTCGCTAGAACAGCTTTCATAGCACATTTAGTATTTTCCATTGAATATAATTTAATAGTAGCACGATTTAAAGCACCTTTAAACGTATAAAAACCCATTTTGTACACTATATTCTGATGAGAATCTTTGTTTAAAACAATATCGATTGTGAGCGTGTGCCCGCGCGAATTTAGTAAGCGGAATAAACAAAAGCAATAAAAGCGCATGCGCCATTTATCTCATTTTGGATAAAAAAATTCGATTTCCCCAGAGTCGTGCCACAACCTAACCCGCGAACAGGCATACTCTGGGAACGAGATTGTCCTGAACTGAATTATGAATGAGTTTTCGAAATATATATATATATATATATATATATATATATATATATATATATATATATATATATATATATATATATATATATATATATATATATATATAGATATAA